ATGCGTGCTGCTGAGCATCCTCAAACCAGACCTAAATATCTGTCGAGTGCCTTCTGGTTTTCAAAGAATCTCTAGCTGATGTCAGCTGATGATCTAACTAGATGTCATTTTGATCCCTGCAGACCAACGCTTGAGAATGATTTTTCATCTGGTTAATGTTCTTGATTTTATGTAAACACCGGTGGTAATAACAATAGCCAACCAAACCCAGGATTATATAATTGGAGAGAGTGAAATATTATGTACGTCTGTTTTTCAGAAGGCTTACTGTTATGCACAACCGGGTCTTTGCTGACTTCACGTTGTAGTAGGCCATTGTATCTATCAAAGTCCTCCAGGAGATGTATCATGAACCTGAACAGCGTGATAACGTCTATGACTACAATGTCTAGTGACATGAGCTCGAACCCCAGAGGGGACATGAGTTCCTTGAAGGTTGCAGTTACGTCTTGCTGACAAGTGCCGACAAGGATGAAACCAAAGTCCAAAGTTTCTTGCCAACTGCGTCCGACCGTCTAAGCCTTAAGTGCCTTGAGTGGACCGATGGAACTTTGACAGGTTGAACTTCACCCGAAACCGCAACACATTCAGTTTAGTTTAAAATATCAGCGTGAGAAATAAAAAATATATACAAAATTAGCAAGGACTCTTTGATAGCGGAGGAATTCAGTAGGTTTCTGCGCTGTTTTGTCAAGCTTGCTGAAGTAAGTGAGAAGATCGGTTTTCTCAGAGACGGTGTAAATAACCATAGATATGCGAAGTGGTATTAGAAAGCTCTTCGTCATAATCAAATTTATCCTAACTCCAAATCTCTTAAACGCCACACTCTGAACCACATAGATTCCATTCTTTCACGTGTCCCAGAACTGGAGCAAACCATAGCATAACGTTCCTCTACATTGTTTGAATTGTCAAGTGGCGAACGCCAAGCTTTTACTGATTGTATCAGTATGGTTACGGAGAAGTGCAGAAAACCTATTAACAAGTCTTGAAGCCAATGGAATTCCATGCAAATTTCTGGAAGATCCTGCTAAATTTACGTTCGATCATTCTCCAGTAAATTTAACTCCTATACAGCTCGAGGCGTTATCTGTTGGGCCGAAATTCTACGATATGAATCAAAACTTTAGCAACCTGCATATGTGAGTGTGGAAATTCGATCAATCGGACTAGTGATCTTTTCCTATTCTCTGAAGACGAGTTCAAACGTTTCATCCCAACAATTCTAGACTCATGCCATCAGTATCTCAATGCAAAGTCTAACTGCAACAATCTTTTGACTAAATAACATAGAGAGCAACTCAACCAAATGAGATATAACAAGGAATTGCTAATCACACACCCTGATAAAGGTACTGGTATAGTCCTGATGGATAGAAACGGCTATATTAATAAAATGTTGGCAATTCTTTCAGACAACAACAAGTTCATTGCATCTGACAAAGAAATAACTGAAATGCAACTCACAGACATATTAAGAAGGCCAAAATCTGATCAACTTATTCTGATAAAGTCTCACAGTATTACACAGTAATACCTACTCTTGACGTTTCGGTAAATATTACTCTGTAACACTGTAAAACTCTATCAAAATATATTTTCTCTATGATGGAATTATACTCTATCACAGTGCCAAGTTCTATTCTTATATCAGGGATCAAATTATCTATGAAAATGTCTACGACAGCATTCGACCAATCAGTTCAATAATAACCCAACTATACGGATTACCAAGAATTCACAAATAGGGACTCCCATTGTACCCTATTTTGGACATGTCAAGATCTATTTGCCAAATGGCTGACAGAACTCCTACAGCCTGTGAGAAAAGAAATTTCAAAAGACTCTTTTCGAGACGCGTTTGAATTCGTCAACTGTATCAAAGATGTGAGATACTGCGGTGACGATATCAAAGCAAGAATCGGAAAAGCAAGACAAGCTTCCACTACTCTCAAGTCTGTGTGGAGGTCAACAGAACTCAGCATCAAAAATAAGATCCGGATTTTCAACTCCAATGTGAAGTCAGTCAGTGCTACTATACGGATCAGAGACTTGGTCAGCGCGTCATAAAGAGCATCTCAAACAAACTACAGACCTTCATTAACAGCCAGTTGTCTTCGCTCAATACTCAAGATCAGATGGCCAGAAAAGACCAGCAACAGAGATCTCTGGGAGCGAACCAACCAGGAACCGATTGTGAAACAAATAGGCAGGAAGAAATGGAGATGGATTGGCCATACTCTGAGGAAACCATCAAGTGACATCACTAGACAAGCCATCGCTCGAGTGGAACCCGGAAGGGAAGCGGCGAGTTGGTCGTTAGTGCAAGGGTGACTTGGAGGAGGTCATGTGAAGAGGAGATGAAAGCATGTGGGCAGACTTGGAGCCAGGTGAAGACTCTAGCAGAGAACCGAATGCAATGGAGACTCACGGCTGAAGCCCTATGTTCCTCTAGGAATTAAAGGAAACAATAATAATAATCAAAGATGTGAAACGGGCTTAACAATTGCATGATATCACTCGATGTCGAATCTCTCTTCACAAATGTTTCTATTAAGCAGATGATTTATTTCCTATGCAGCTACTTGGAAGACAGCGACTTGAATACTAGAACAGCAACATCCAAGTTAAAAGAACTTCTACTTAGATGCACTTTGAACATCCAATTCATATTCAAAGGTATTATTCACAGGCAGCAAGATGGTGTCGTTATGGGTTCAACTTTAGGCCCGGAACTTGCAGATATTTTCACTGCAATTTTGAAAAATGGTCCATTGAAATCGACTATCGACAACGTTTTTCTGTATAAAGGCTCGCTGATGACACTTTCATCATTTGTGATAATAAATTTGACCTAAATAATTTCCTTCAGATTTTCAATAGCCGCCACCCAGCCATCATATTTACAGTCAAAGTAGAAACCGGGCAAACAAATAACAAAGAAGAGTGATGGGACTTTGAACAGATCAGTATATTGAAAGCTTATGTAGAACGGCCAGTTGAAAAAGTTTTACATTTGGGTACCCATCACTCGCAAGTGGAACCTCACATTAGCTCCTGCGACTGAAGTGCGAAGAACCTGCAGCCTCGAAACAGTAGGAGAAGAGATCGCTATTTTGAGGAAGAAACCACCTGAGAATCGCCGTCCACCACGCTTTGTAAATAAACACATAAAACCGAACATCTCTATGCTGGAGAAGATGCTACACATGGCTGTGACGTTCAGAGGTGACCGTCCGACCAACATCCTAGAGAAGAGAATATCTAACACCCTGAAAAGAACTCTCCCTGCTTCTACAGTTCGAATGGTATTCTCATGACGCCCATTGTTCTTCAACAACTCCAAAGATAAACTATCGCATCTGACTACTTCTATTTGTATCTACCAATTTACTTGGTCATGTGAAGCGATATATATAGGTTGTTCGATGCGTGTTTTATGTAGAAGAGCCAAAGAATATTATCTGGCTTGTCTAGAAAAGTTAACAGTGGATCCATGCAGGGGGCTATAATTGAACACATATTCAACACTGATCGCCTAGTATGTGAGGAGAATTCATTCAAAGTTATCTAGAAAGTCAAAAGAAGCTCCCCATAGACGGTGAGCTTCCGTATACTTTGCATGTCCGAGGAGGCCTTATCGATTCGTATGTCAAACCCTGATTAATGTACACAGAATTAACTTCTCCATCCCCTTCTTCTACCTTGGGTATAACTCCAAGTTCCACTAATTTGTTAATAATACTTTGAATTTTCGTATGACGTTTTAGTGACATCTTTTTCTTAACTAACCGTCTATTTACTCTTTCTACTTGTTACGTAATTTATTTTGAACACTTGTCTTCATACTCCTTCACTAACACCCTATCTTTCTGGACGTCTTTTATGTTACGTAACCCTAGTCAAGACTTACTAAGCTTCACCTCCTCTAGTTACCATTCGATTATTCATCAAATTTGAGATATTTCTGTGACGTAAACAATAACCCTATGTAATTTTATTCTTGTCCAACAAACCTAATGTACACACACATACGAAAAATAATTATGCATAAGTGAATGAATTCAAGGGAAACAGACTCTTCGCTGAACTGTTTGTTCTTGAATTTGAAAAAACAAGCTAACAACTCTGACAAGTGTCAATGATATCCCGACTACTATTTACAAATATTTTTACAGCGTTCAGTTAAATAATTCAGCTGTTTTATTCTGTGAAAGTACTGTAAATTCAAAATCCGTCTTTATCAGTAACATTGATGATTTAAGTAAATGATTAATTTCTTGGCTCGCTTTTTAATTTGTACGCAAATGAATGCTGATTTATTAACTATATCTGCATATTTTTATTACGTAAAACCACCTCATCAAAACCACACAGTAGTCACTAATTCGTAATTGTATATTCTTAGTAAAAACGTACTTAATATAACAATGAATGTGGTAGCAATTTCTTTAAACTTGTTAATCTGTGTTAAGCAAAGCAAACTAATTAAAACAATTGACAGACTTTTTGGCGGGAAAAGTGTTATCATCATTAGAATATTAGAGACTTTTAGAGAGTGTTGAAATGATCTGGAGTAAGTAATCAGAGGAAAAACGTTATTACTGATACTGCGACAACCAACACCGACTACTAACTTGACATAAACGTTTTTTCTTTCGTCAACGAATGCACACGTGCTAACGTATTCTTATATTAACTTATGCACAATTAAACAAACACATTCGATCAATATTCTCCTTCAAATAATCCAACCAGACTAAATGATATCAGCTGTAATTAATCAATAGTTTGGAATAGTATATATTAGCACTCACAGGCTACATACCATAAAATATTGTATATCTAACTGTCTAAGTTTTATTCACGCTTTTTGTTAGAAAAAAGGCATTTATTTTTGTTTTTCTTTAATATATTCTATTGATGATTCATTCTCTTGGATTATCAATAGAATGAAGATTATTTTAACGTTATGCTCATAAATCATTTTCACTATTATTATGATGATGACATCTTCAACTGACAAAATCATTCATAGTCCTAGTGTACGCAGTTCATGCAGCCTAACAGATAAATATTATTTCGACTCAGCAGTACAAGGTATGGCATTGAATATATGTAAGGACGAAAATCATCTGCACGTGGATAATTCTGAAATACTTTCTGATAATCCAGGTGATGAAGAAGATGGAATCTATGAATATGTCTTGAATAAAGAATATAGGCAGAAAGAACAACAAATTAAGGAACTAATTAAATACCAGACAAAATCATCTGATAGCTCAATTGACGACAGAGAATTTACTGTGCCTAAAGAAGACTTGAAAATTTCGTTAAATCAGAAGAAGTTGATAAATACTCAATGGGATGAATTGAAACCATATAGCACAAGTAGGTTATTTGCTAATTTCAACAATAGTACTTTTCAAAAAGGTGATCATAATGATGGCGAAGATATACTATCCGAGATTGGTGTTGACATCTACAACGTCGGTAGTCAATCAAGGCTTGTCTGTAACATATCTACAAGTGAGGAGAGTCCATTAAGTTTCCCTTTAGTAAAAGCGTATTATTGTGACAGCTCTGGAACTGGTCGATGTAGTTATATCAGCAGGATTCCTAGTCAAGATGTGGATAATTATGATGCTGTTAATAATGACGAAAACAAATATGTCATCTCAAATAGTCTGGACAAAAAGGCAGTTTATGATCAAGAAGCCGAGCATGAAAACTTGCCTAGTATTAATTACGTCAAGGGGAAATCTTTGCATAGATGTGTATCACACAGTGCAATTACTGACTGCAAGTCATCTGTGAAACTAGAACCTCATTGTGGATATAGTTCATCCTACAATCCACTTAAAATACCTTCATCAGTATTATCATGGCCTACGCCTGTGCCATTCAGACTGTTAACTTCGCATCCAACCCATCCTGCATTAGACATTACCAGTTTGTTTAAGTATAGAATTAATTATCCATTTTTAGTTCAATGGGTTCAGACATTATTGCAAATCTATTTAAAATGGCGAACTGGTGAGAAAATTCCGGATAATTTAGCTATACAAAATGCAAGACAATCTGTTAACCACTTCTTAGAATTGGTAATTAAAAAGAAAATCTACAAATCAAAACGAAACTACAAACGTCTAGTTGAAGTTAATGGTGATAAATATAACACTACTGACAATCTGCATGATATTGAAGCTGTACCGAATGAAAATCTCCAATGTTCAATATTGAATTTAATTTTAGACGGTGAAATTGAAAACCCTGAAATATATGAAAATCAACTATGGAAACGACGCTACTACAATCTACTGAATGCGGTTGATTTCGTGTATAAGGACTATCAGTTATTGCATTATGTGTGCAGGGAAGGTCTGTTTGACTATGTTTTATGTAGTCCAAGTACTTCGAGTGACTCTAATTATAAATGGCATGACGGCGGCAATGTTGACAAAAATACAGAAAAGATAACTAATCATGCATTGATTGGCTCTGATCCCATCGGTTACTTGGCATTCAGGATAAAACAACTTTTATTATTAGAAAAGAAATCGAATTCTTCAGGAGGTCAGAATAATTTGAATCAATGGCCTTGTTCTCTAAGCATATCAGTAGCCTTCCTGAGTGATATAATTGCACAAAGTCGTATACTACGCAATGATTTGGAGCACAGGTTAGCGATTCATGATCGTCTAGTGTATGTACTAGGACAAGCCAGGGATCAACGAACTAAACTGAAACTTCATATGCATAAACAAAATGAAATTATCACTGAATTAACGCATAAACTAAATCTAAATAAACAAAATATCAGTCAGTTAACTGCACCGATCACTGGAAGTGTTGATATCCCGTCTTCTGTAAGGAAAGATAACTTTTCCTCAGCAATAACAAGTCCATTTATCGATACAGAAAATCCTCCGAATGAACTAATGAGGTCAGATTCACCAAACAGTCTGTATACTTTTAACAAGAAAGATAGACAACAAGACAATGACAGACAAAAACTGTTAGAATTAGAACAAAAAGTAATTGAATTACAAAATCAAATTGCTTCGTTTGAGAGAGTGTTAAAAGAGGAAGAAGCCTACCGTAAACGTATACATAATTATATACAAGAATTAGTGGGTAATATTCGTGTATTTTGTCGGTTAAGACCAAGTAATAATAACACCAAGTTTAAGAACACTACAAGTAGTAATGAAAAGTTGAAAAGTTCACTCAGTGTTGAAAAAAGCTATTTAAGTGTTAATTCGAATGACAAATTATTATTTTGCACAGAAACAATACGTGATTATATTAGAAAGCAACAGCAATGTCAACAACAAAATCAGATCAATTCATCCGGATTGTTCAACAATCTCAAAAGTATACCAGGTGTCGGTGTCAATGGCATTAGTCCCAGTGGAGTTGGATTTTTAACGCATACAAATATCCCCCGATGTTTTATATTTGATCATGTTTTCGGTCCCGAAGCTCAACAGAAGGATATATTTAATGAAATCGAGGATTTAATTATCTCTAGTTTAGATGGATATAATGTTTGTATAATGGCTTATGGTCAGACAGGCAGTGGGAAAACGTATACAATGATGGGTACTAAAGATGAACCAGGTGTGAATAGAAGAGCTGTCAAACACCTATTCGACAGCTGTTATAAGCGTAGACACTGGAAGTATACTATAACAATGAGTATGGTGGAAATTTATCAAGAAGATGTCTATGATCTCCTATCGAATGATACTTCACTCTCTATCAACACAAATGATAATGGATACAGAGAAAACAGCAATGAGAGGAAAACGGATCCATCAGTTGGCATCAGATCACGCAATATAATGAAGCTCAGTAGTAGCAACAAAAAGCTACCAAAGTCCAGTCGACCGATATTGCCATGGAATACTTGGATCAATACTATGAGCACACAACATTCCAAATCTCGATACACACTTTATAATCAACATCAGTCACGTCAGCGTAATTCTGTACGCATACTGACCAATGAAACCGATGAGCTGATATTTAAAAATCTTAAGGAACATCTTATCACTAGCGAAGATGAAATGTTGTATTATTTAGAAAAAGCTGAAAAACAACGCCATGTTGGTTGTACACAATTGAATATTAGTAGTTCAAGGTCACACTTAATTATTCTGTTAAAAGTTCACGGTGAAAATCATTTACATAATATAACTAGTCATGGTGCACTAACCTTAGCTGATCTAGCTGGATCTGAAAATGTCACAAAGTCCGGATCAACTGGTGAGCGGTTTTTAGAAGCAGCTTGTATTAACAAATCACTGAGCTCATTAGGTCGTGTATTTGATGCCTTGCGACGACAACAGAAACCCACCTACAGGGAATCAAAGTTAACATATCTCTTAAAACCAAATTTAAGCGGTGATTCCAAGTGCTTACTATTAGTCACCTTAAGGACTGAACCAGAGCATGCTGAGGAAACATGGCGTGCAATACACTTTGGACAAAGTGCTCTACAAGTTGTACCTGGTAAGCAGAGAGACAGTCGAAATCGACATCATCAGTACTATCATTATCAGTATCAACACAGTCTTCCTTCAAACAATCACCATCAGTCAATGAATACACCCAGTTCAACAAATATATCACTGCATATTAATAGTGGTTTAATGAGTCCTGCATCCTTGCTTAGTTCTGTAAGAGCAGGGCAGAACGATAAGTTGGTTTCAGTTAAAAAGCGTAGAACACTTCTTTCACATTCTATCTGCTCAACTGATTTGGAGAAACATAAAACATGGAAGTAGAATTATAGAAAGGTGACGATAAAAGGTGCCCACTGATAATATTACCTTGTTGTTGTTGTTTTTATACCGGAAAACGCTACTCATTTCTTCTGAACATTTTATTTTATGTCTGCAATTATTTAATAACAGCTGGCCATTACTTTGTCTCAGTCCCTGATTTTGATTAAACTAATCGAAAAGAAACAATTTGTAGACCATGAATCCAATACCTTGTCCTTCCGTGATCATGTCAATAAGCTATGCCAACAGGTTGCATGCATATCAGTATAAAGTGTTTGTTATTTTGCAAACGTCTAAAATTGCAGTCCATTATATTAATCTAGATGCTCATGTACAGTTAGTCTTCATCTCCTTGTTTGCCTTACATTTCGGTGAATCGCATAATCAGATATTTCATTGTATGAAATCAGAATGCTACAGAGTTCATATAGCTCAACTTATTTACTTATGACTCACGGAATTTCATCCAAATTGAACGATTGTGTTAAATCCCACCAGTTATCCCCTTCGCCGTGCCTGCGTGCGTGTGCGTGTGTTTATTTACTTTTTTGTATCTTCAAAGAATTTATGTAAGCGGGGAAAACAAAAAGAAGTAGTTACAAGTCAGACATATTTTATATGCATATAAGTGTATTTCATTTTGAATTCTTAAAGAATAAATTATAAATACATGACAGTGCATAAGGTTGACACTTATTAGTTAAGCTTATTGACTTTTATCACTTCTCTAATACTGCGTCTTTTTTATCCACGATGTATAACAATTTCTAGAAAGCACTTCCTTGTTAACTGATCAACGATTCTGTTTAATCCATCTAAGTTGCATGTTCAGAAGTGGCTCGTTGACTTCAGCACTCGACTAACACCCAATGAGTTCTAGGTTCGAGTTCCACTGCAGCTAATTAACCCTGGATGCAACTGAGTAGTATGGTATCATCAGCCCTCACTCAATAAGGGTGTCTCTTAGCCTGGTACAAAATAAATCTGTTCCAGTAAACTGAGTTCCACGTTATTATAACATCAGATTAAAGAAAGTGGCGGTGGTTAGGATTCCTGGCTCTCACCCAGGCGGCTCGGGTTCGATTCCCGGCGCGGGAGCGTTGTGCGTCGGTGGCATAGCGGTTAGGACGCTCTCCGACCATGCCCATGGTCCGGGGTTCGATCCCCGGCCGACGCACTCCTTTACCTCGCTGAGCCACAAATAGTGCTGGTGAAGAGGAAAGGTTTGGTATGAGGCTAGCAATACCATCCTGTAAAATAAACACTACTACAGAAACTCCGAGCCTTTAGTTTGAAGCCCTATGTTCCACTGGGGAACGTGAAGAAATAAGAAAAAGAAAGAATAGTCGTAAACATATGATTTGATTCTATGAAATCTTCAAATAGAAATCATGCCTTCAGGTTAACAGAGGTAATAAATTCCCAGGCGTTGTAGTCCTTTTATTTTTCAGATAGGAATATCAATTGTATGCCCAGTTGGAAGGACTGTTGAGAAAAGGACAGAATGGAGATGTACTGTTGAAGCTATACTATTCACCCGGAACCAAAGAGAATAATAGTAATATAATAACACTTTGCAATAAACACGAGTGTTACTGGTAATAATCAGCAATACTAATGGGTCCGATCAACGGAAGTATCAAATGTAGCTTTATCGTTCCACATTGAGTAGTTGTAATGTACAGCGTAGACGTATACAGGCATTTAAGTGTAGGGGTTGATAGTATCACCTGGCTGTCCTTAGTGCAGATAAACCTACATAGTGTTTCGACGAAGTGCTCCATATTCGATAACTATTCATTTCTTGCTTTACCGATGGGACGCACAGTGTTTCAGGGGCACAGTTTACCGCTCATACCACAAATTTTTGGTGTCTTGTCAATTCCTGTTCGCAATCATCTTCAGAAGTCCCACTTATTCTCTTAGTCTACGATACTTATATTCAGATAGCATTCTATAGCTGTAACCTATGTTTCTTATGAATTGAATCCTTCAGTCAAGATCCTGGAGAAGTGTCTACAGTGCTTTCATTAACATCATGGTAGTCATGCTGTCAGTGTCATCTGGGTGACTGGCGTGTATCATTGACTTTCTAGCTAACAATCTGGAGAGTCCACCTCTATTGCATCTTCTGTCATAGATTTCCAGACATTTCTGTATCCAATCTTCTCATTTCTCCTGTGATATGAGGAACCTTTGCTGGCTCGAATATCGTACGGATATTCCGTGTCCCCATGCATACCTTCGCGTTCATCGCAAGAAGTCACAATAGTGAAATCTTTCAGCCGGTGGTATCATCTATCTTCAAATTAAAGTAACTTTCCAATTCTGTAAGTAAAGGAGTTTTATTTCTCTGTCCTTTAAAGTTTCACTAGCTATAGGGTTATGTTTTACCAGTTGACGTTAACAGCTCTACGCAAAACCTTCCCTCTTTTCCAGGCCTAGGACCAGTTAATAAACTAGGGGAGGTTAAATGCTCTACTATTTATTACAAAGTATCGGTACAACAGCCGATGATGTTGGTGGATTTCAGTTACACAATGAGTCCAGAATTTAGGAGATGCGATTGTTAAGAAATATGGAAACTGAACTTGGTATCTAATAAAGACTATTTGTTCAGACTTTAAGTCACTACATAACTGGAGTCAGGATTTACTGTAAAATAGACTGCCAAATAATCCTGCTTACCTGCCAATTGTTCTAAGGTGAAGTTCTGTTGTGTTTATCTTCAGGTTAATTCGCAAATGTTTCAAACAGTAACAGGCATTACATTATAGCAAGCAGAAAACTATGAAATCAGTGAAATATTATTTGAGTATTGAGAGTCATACTACTGGCAAGTAGATTATATATATATATATATATATATATATACATCATATATATATATATACATATACATATATATATATATATATATATATATATATATGACAGAGGAGAGACGCATGCTAAACATACTACGATTTCTGCTCATGGTATTTAGAAGACTCTGAATTTTACCAGTCTCCATCCAGAAGGACAAAATGATCCGCATACTCTAAACTTACTGGAGTATTCTCCCCGCTGCTAAATATTGTCACAACACCTCACGGTGGATGGAATTGAACATCGCCTCTAGGTGTTGTATCATGTTCATTCGCTGATTTGCATAGAACGAATAAATTACATCCTTGAACCCAATTTTAATTAATTGGGTTTCACTTGTGTCTATTGTAAACGGTTCTATTAGATATATTCAGAAATTGCTGCATTTGTGCTGATAATGCCTTTGTAATCTGACCACTTATTGTACTAGGTGCCTGAAAAACAAAAGATTTATTTAAACCTCAGGCATACAAATCAGTTAATAAACCGGTCACAAAATCCGTCATAGTTGGCCGGTATCAGCTTCGAATTTCTCGATATGAGAACAATGACAAGACACCTTACATAGTGCGTGAATGCCGTTAGACTTCATAGGACCTACCCAGGTGAAAAAAATACATTTAGGGGTGAAACAAACAGATTAATGCTAAAATAATAATAATAATATTCTTTATTCCAAAGTAGTACTTATGATACAGTGTGGAATTATCAGTATTTGGTGCAATAATGCATCTAATCTACTCAACAACAGCAAAAACAAAAAGCAATATTACAGAGGTATACGTAACCAGCATTGGTAATAAAAGCTTTTTGCTATTTGCAGTGATAATAAAGTCAGAAATGTACAAATAGTGTAAAATAATGATAATAATGTTGATAATTAAAACTATAAGGTAATCGCAGTAGTGTCACCGTAGAATACAAATAGGAGAGAATGAAAGAGTCAATTATTTCACTGAAAAACATAGTAAATCGTAGGTTTCACGCTTAACACTATCTCTGTCACATAGAACGCGGGCGAAATAGGGTATCGCTGTGCTTTTGTACTTTGTTCTACGAGCATATAACCTCTTATACTGACTTCTATTCCCACCTGAAGAGAAGCTATGGGACAGTTGAGAATAGAGGCAGTGTTGGGAGCCAGACAGTATGGAGTTAAACCATTTCTCATATGGGTTCAGGGGTCTGTCGACTGCAGTAACTAGACGATTGAGTGTCAGACCACTTGCCCCTACAACCAGACGTAGCCTAAGAAAGACTAAGAGGGAGCAGCAAAGTGCATTAGGTAAGATACAAGAGTTAAGAAATTGTATGAGAAGAGGTTTAGTGATTCTTGATTGTCTTAACTTCTTAGTGTCGTAGGCTGAACCAAACGTTTTCTTAGAAATCGAGAATGTATGGGATGTCCAAGAAAAGTCAGAGGATAGAACATTTCAAGGTATTTTATGCTTGACTTAGTTTCTGCTTCAGTACACTCTATACTACAAGCATCAGGTCAAAGGAACAGTTCTAGTAGATCACGTTTATGCCTCGAGGTGAAGTTAACTATCTGACATTTAAGGGGATATAAGGTAAGACGATTTGGCTTACACCACTAGCTGATTTCTGACAACAGGCTATTAATGTTTGGGACAGTCAGACTGACAGTCATAACATCAGCGTATTTTCTGTTATTCCTTTACGTTCCCAGTGGAAAATAGGGCTTCAAGCTAGAGGCTTGAAGTTTCTGTAGCAGTGGTGATTATTTTTACAGGGTGGGGTTGCTAGCTTAATGCCCACCCTGCCCTCTTTACCAGTCTTATTGCTGGCTTAGCGAGGTAAAGAAGTGCGTCGGTCGGGGATCGAACCCAAAACACCTACGTGGTCGGCGAGTACTCTATCGCTGTGCCACCGACGCATCAGTGTATTTGACGAAGTTGATTTCATCCGAAAGAGACAAGTCATGTGGGGAGAAAACAAAAAGAAAAGGAGAAGGAACAGCACCTTGAAGGACTTCAGTTGAATATCAGCTAAACAGATGGAGAGTTGGCACTACTATACATCAGTGTATTTAAGACTGGTTAGATTTTTGAGATAAAATAGCTAAAAACTTAGTCTCAGCTTCAAAAGCTTACTCGCATTTGCTTTTCAAA